CTCATGCCACAGATGGCACTGTAGAACCCTAGTCGGAATAGACCTGTAACAGAAGACAGATGAATGAAAGCAAGCCACCAGAAGCTTTTTATACAATATTTCATGCACACACAGGAGACACCCAGGGACTGAGGAGCTCTCAGCGAGGTGGCTAGGATTTCAGCTTGTATAGCATCTTCAACTGAAGACAGAAAATATTTAGCCAACTGACAAGACCCAAACACAGGACTTTGAGGCCCCAGGGGTGGCAAGTTGTGGAATGGCAGCAGATTAGCAGATGAATGCAGTTTGTCCGAGTCTGTTAATGTGGACTCCTCTGGGGCCATCTCCAGGCTCATCAGAGTCCATAGCTATCTCTGGGGTCACCTTGGCTGGAAGCTAAGGTAACCCTGTGTTTAAGGTTTTAGGAACCACAAGGTTGTTTGTAGACACAGCCACACCCCTTTTCATCAGCACCTGTAGTACATGAGACTTCCCGTTTCCCCCTTCTCTCCAACGCTCACCTGACATGTGGATTCTGGCGATCCTAGGGCTGTGGAGTACTATCCCACTGGGTTTGATTTGCATGTCCCTGACGGCCAGCGATGTCCACAGTTTTCACAGAATCCTTCACTTTTAACGGCATTTTGGGTTCGAAAGGTTATACGCAAGTCTGTTGGTTCTAATGGATTTAAGTAGAAATGTGAGCAGTTATTTTTAATGTGATTAGAGAGAAATAGTTTCCTTCTGAATGTTTGAAAGCACTTATATAGCAGCCGTGGGGTGTGGGTGAGTGTGCTCCTCATGGGTCCATACCAAAGGATGGAGAGCACTGCCGCAGAGTGGGGAAGGCCCTCGAAGAGACAAACACGAGGAGGGTAAATGGCCCGGGCACTTAATCATGGTGGAAGAGAAGGCGTGCGGCACCCAGGCCCGTGGGAAAACCATGGGATTTGGCTGGTGGCTCACAGGTTATATTGGTCCATCTCTGCCTGTGGAAATTGTGGAGAGGAAGGTAGGAAAACAGAAGATAAATGCAATTTTGTAAAACTTGTTACTGTGGAATCCTCTGGCACCATCTCCATGCTGGTCGGGGTTCTCAGCTGTCTCTAGGTTCCCTCTGTCCTCCTTGTAGAGAAGCGGCAAGACGCTCCTGTGTCTACTTTAGGCCATGGCAGGGAGGCAGGGAGCTCTTCTGCATTGGCTTCTTCACGACCTGTAGCTACACAGCGACTCTCATCTGGGGACAGCACCTTGGCTTTTCCAGGCTGTGCTTGGGTGAGTCTCCCCTGTGCTGGGAGTGGGAGCAAAGTCCCTGAGAAGGGGGTCCTAACAGCACAGCAGTGTCAGCTCCCTGAGCTGTTAGACCCACAGATCCCAGGTCAGACCTGGGCAGCGACATCTCTGTGCTCCCCAGAGCAGGTGCTCTGAGCTCAGCCCCAGGGAACTCTCACTTCCTCTGAGTTAACAGCCAGCTCTTGTCTCCCCAGGTCCTCCTCAGGCCATCTGGGTCTTGGTGCTTCACTGCCGTGATGTTCTGTCCCAGGGTCCTGCACTGGGAGGGCAGCCGAGTGAGCTCATGGGAGGCCACTGACCTGCAAGAAAGAATATTAGAGAGAAGGTGAGTCTGAGGCCAAGGGGTTTATTCCCTGCGGTCCCCGTTCTGAGGCTCTGCCTGACCTGAAGTCAAGTTTCAGAAAGGCCCTCTTGAAATTCCTGTGAGGCTAAACCTGTGGGCTGAGCCTCTCCATGGATACGGGGGGTGGGGGGGGCAGTCTGTGTTCAGTGAGAAGGGGAACAGAAGAGGGTACTCATCAGCACTTACCTGCCAGCAAACTTAGGAGTAACATCTCTCTGGATGGTAATACTCTTGGCGTTCTCCCCAGGACCTGGTCCTGTAGGAAGAAAAGATAGAGAAGGAGGAGACACAGGAGCAGAAATGCAGTGAATACAGACAAGCTGTACGGCTCAGTCATGCTGAGCTGCTTCATTTTTACATTTTACCAGGCGCAGTGAACTGTTTTGTAAGTTTTAAAGGATGTGGTTGAAGTTCTATAGTTAGAGATAAGCACTTTATTGTATACGTTTACTGGTCTTCTTACTATCACATGTGATCATGTTATACATCATAGGTCAAGCAGCTAACTTATCTATAAATGTGTTGTTCCTCTGCAACTCCAAGGAAGGCTGTCTAAGTATGCAACAGAAAGGATAATATATAAACCATTAAACATTACATAGAGCAGCCCACGCATGACCTAGCTAGGGCCAAGATCTTTCCCAAGCACCGTAGACATTTCTACAGAGCCCCTAGTATCTAAGGCATGTATCAGCCAGTCTAAGTGAATGATTAATGAGACATGTATATAATTGTCTTAAGCTGTCAGGCTGTATACCCTCATAGGTCCATGCCATGTAAAGATGCCCAGAACTCTGCCTGCTGAGCCCACAACTGGGCTGTTCTGGCCTGTCCTGTCCCAGGATGGATGAGGCTCTGAGTCAGTCACCCTTCAGTAAGCAGGTTGGGTTCTGGGTTGTCCAGCATAACCCAGGAGGGCTGGGGCAAGAGGAAAATGGTCGGTGAGGGGACAGGTCTCTGGGCCCCATTTCTAGCCCCACAATGTCCCCATAGATCCAGGAAGAGGCCTCTGCCCTTCCTGAGCTTCATGGGGTTGATGCTGGAGACCTTTTCCTGGAATTGCTAGTGACCATAGCTCCCAGGTTGATCCAACATTTGTCAGCTTCTTCCTGGAAGGACCTGCCTGAAGCCAGTAAACTGAAGATCCTCATACCCATAACTTTCCTGTGACCAACCAAATTCCCTCACTATGGCAGTTTCTCAATTGTGTGTCCTTAGTGCTGAGCGATTTGGTCTATGTAATTCCAGATTTTCTCTGCTCTTGAGGGTCTGAAGGGAAGGTCACAGGTGAAGTCACTGCAAGTGACTAGGCCAGGGTGAACAGAATAAGCTGAACCTGGAGAAGTTCAGGAAGGAGTTTCCTATGTCTTGGGAAAACAAGGGCAGGGGAGGACCAGAGACTCCCCCCATGTCTCCTGTCAGTGTGACCAGAGTGTGTGGGGGGTCAGTGTCTGTGATCCGGGCTCATGGCAGGTTTGTTTCTCACTTCCCCCTCTGCCTGTGTCACTGTGAGAAATACCACTTCTGCTATCCCACACCTGACAGTAATAGCCTCATCTCTGTCCTGGGCCCCGCTGATGGTCAGGGCGGCTGTTTTCCCTGAGTTGGATCCTGAGAATTCGGTCAGGTATCCCTGAGGGCAGGCTGTTATCACTATAGATGACCAGCTTGAGGACCTGGGCTGGCTTCTGCTGGTACCAGTACACACCATACCTTCCAGTGCTATCTCCCACACATGGGAACCTGGCTGGCTGTCCCAGGCTGACATCAAGGACTGCTGAGTCAAATCATAGGAGGCCACAGAACCTATAATTGAGAAAAAAGAAGTGACCTTGAAGATGAAGTACTGTTTCCTAGAGATCCATCTGCCTGGCCTGCACTAGATCAAAGGACTGAGGGGGGCCCACAGGGCCCCCTCTCCTGTCAATCTCAGCCCAGGAGTCCCATGGGCTTGGCTATTGGGTGGCACCATTGGAAAATAAGAAAACATGACCACTTTCTCCTGAGTGTGCCAGCTCAGGTTCAGACCATCTGATGAGGACACTGTGGATAAAGTTCAGCCCCTAAATCAACACACCCCAATCCTGGTGCAGGTCCCAGAGCAACCTCCCCTTCAGGCAAGATCCTCTGAGCTCAGAGTCAGGCCAGGCTGGTCCCAGAGCCCTGGGGCTGGGCGGTGGCTGAGCCTGGGCAGCACCTGTGCAGTGAGCGAGGAGGCCCAGGAGGAGAGGGGTCCAGGCCATGGTGGTCCCAAGGCTGCTTTCTAGGACCAGGCCTGGCTCCTTCCTCCCAGGCCTGTCTTATCCCCTGGCTGGAGAGAGCTGCCCCTTATGCAAATCAGCCAGAGCTCAGGGGTGCCTGAGGGGCTCTGTGGTCTCCAGAGAAGGAAGAAGACCCAGGGATGTTACAGGGTATGTAGGGTACAACCCTACACCCCAACCTTGGCCTGTGGGGTTCTTTTGAAGTCGGGCTGACTTCTCCTCCCAGCCTATGCACAAACCTTGCTGCTGGGCGGCCACGCATAGCTCAGAGCTGATTCTCTCCGTATTTTCCAGGCAGCCTGAGCTCTGCCCTTGGGGTGATCCTGGGTCTCCTTCCGGACAGGGGCAGAGTCACAGTGGACAGCAGTGACCGTGGGACTCGCGAGGTCAGGAGGGAGGTGTTGATTTTTGTGTAGGAGCCGAGGGGTCCATCCTGATCTGGGCTTAAGGGCCCAGTGTGGGCTTAAGGGCCACACTTTAATGAGAGAGACAGGAAGACAAACCTCCAACAGGACTTCACACCACAGTCAGGTCCTGTCTTAGCCACTGTGGAGCATGGACACGCACACTGGCACCCAGCGTGCTCAGGGAAGTGCTGGGACCCAAACCCTGGCCCTTTCCACTGGGGATCCAGATGCATTCTCACTGCCTACTGCTGCCTTATTTTAATTTATTGTATTTGGAAATTGTGTGGATTATGGAGACGTGAATAGTGTTCACATTGAAGAGGGTGGATGAACTGTGGCGGCGGCTTCAGTGTCTGCTGTGAAGTCCTGAGCTGACTCTCCCAGAGGCTCTTCTGTCTGTGTTTCTGGTCGGGGATGAAGAGAGAGTGTGTGCAGACATGGAGGTGGAGGTAGGGAGCATGGGTGCAGCTCACACTCCAGGTCATGTCTGCAGCTCACGGTGCAGCTGGGGCCATGGCGCCTCTTTCCCGAGATTCGCCCTCAGCCTGGATCTGACTCTGGGCTCTCTCAGAACCCAGAGCTCCTAGGATGTGGCCATCTCCCCTCGGGGTGATTTCTTGCTTTCTATTTCTCTGTCTCTGTGTGTCCCTCTGATGAGCACACACACCCAATAGCAAAAATCTCTCTCTCTCAAAAAAACAAAGAGCTATTTTAGTTTAAACAATATCATTTATTTAATGCTGAACCTTAAGAGGAGTATCATTTACATATGCAATTGCTAAAAGCTACTGGGTGTGATCTATCCACAGGAACTTGGCTGTGATAATTACTGGTCTTTGTTATGATGATTATGTGGCTTGCTAGGATGTACACAGGTCTCCTCTCTGAGGCTCACTGTTTATCCAGGGCCACGGCTCCTCTTTCCCAGGATTCGCCTTCAGTCTGGATCTGCCTCTCACCTAGTTCAGAACCCAGAGCCCCTGGACTGTTAGGTATTTCTCCCATCCTGAAAAAATTTAGGGAACAAAATGATATTAAGGGACACTTGCAGGTTCACACTGAAGAAAGGAGAGCTCTCGGTGCACAGTGGCCCCCATAGGTCCCGAAGCTCACACTGGGGAAGTTGGCTCCTACATGGCTTCCCTGAAGCTGACTCTCCATGGAGACCTGCAGGCTTGGGTCAGCTTGGAAGATGGGAGGAGGCAGCCCAGGGCAGGAGCAGGTGCTGGCCAACAGGGAGGGTGCAATAGGGGTACTCAGCCATCCCTCCAGGGAGCTCTGAAGCTGAGGGGATTCCAAGTGCCCTGTGTGGAGGCAGGGCTGGGATCTTGGCCTCAGGCTGTCATCAAATCAACCTCTCTGGGTAGAGGCATGAACTGGAGGAAGGGGCCCAGCTCTGAGGGGCTGACAGCTCCCAGCAGAGGAGGTGGGTCAGCCCTGAAGTGGGGCCGGGCAGATCCCACAGGGCCCACGGCACAGGCTTGCTCTGTGAGAATCCCATCATGCCAAGGTGCTGCTCTGTCAGGACTTCAGCCAGCTGGACAGGGCTAGGTGTTAGTCCTGGATATTTGGACCAAAGAGAGGCCCAGTGATCCCCACAGAAACCTGGATCAGTAAGTGGAGGACAGCTGTGTCCTCATGTCTGTCCTTACACTCAAGTCGCTTCTCTGCATCTCGAATACCAGACCCTAATCCCAGGGCAGTCTGGTCCTGCAGCCCCGAGTGCACTCCCCACACTCCCTCTGCATCTCCCTCCTGGAGGGCTGGGAGGAGAGGACAGCATGGGGGCTCAGCTCCAGGTGACATGGGCCAGCCCTGCTGTGTCCCCAGTCTTCCTGTGTCTGCAGGGAGGTTGTGACCCAGACAGAGAAGGGGGTTTGTGTCTCATTTCCTCATCTGCTTGTGTCACTGTGGCAATGTTAAACTGTCCGTTGACTGACAGAAATAGTCAGCCTCGTCCTCAGCCTGGGCCCCAGTGATGGTCAGGGTGGCCGTTCCACCAGAGCGGGAGCCGGAGAACCGCTCAGGGACCCCTGAGGCCCGGCTGCTATCACCATAGATGAGCAGTGCAGGGCTCTGGTCTGGCTTCTGCTGGTACCAGTTTGCAGGAAGTATTCTTAAGTCTCCTCCCTGGCAGGTGATCTTGACTGTCTGTCCCAGTGCCACAGACACTGAAGGTGACTGAGTCACTGCAGAGGAGGGCACAGAGCCTGCAAGAGAGGGAGGTGAGCCTGAGGCTGAGGGTCTCCTTCCCAGAGGGCCCCACACCCTGCAGCACCCCCTGTGCTGAGCTGAAGGTCAGGCCAGGCTGGTCCCTGGTTGTGTGGGGCTGAGCCCTGGGGGCAGCACCTGTGCAGAGAGTGAGGAGGGGGAGCAGGAGAAGGGTCCAGGCCATGGTGGAGACACCCCAGAGCTCTGCCTCTGAGCCCACAGCAGGGAGGGCCCCCAGGCCTCTCTTATCCTGAGGGAGGGGGGCTCCTCATGCAAATGTCCTCCTTCCTTCTGTGGCTGGGGTTGGCTCCCTGCTTAGAAGACAAGAGCTGGGCTTTCAGGAGGGTGTCCCATGGGCTTGTCCCATGGGCGTGTCCCCCAGGAGCTCAGAGTCTCTGTGGTGTTGAGGGTGAAATTGTTGCCCCTACACACAGACACACACAGACACACACACACACACACACCCCACTCACACCTCTCAGGCTGGGTTTTGGATTCCTTCTCTGGGCTGAGTCAGACCCCCTCATACCCCTTTCAATGGCTGAGACTATCCCTGGGTGGGCTATGCAGAGTTTTGGCAGGAGCTTGGGGGTTCAGGGCTCATATTGGGGCAGTGGAATTCAGAGTGAATGCCCACAGGCCTAGGGATGGATTTTATTGTTTTGGGGAAAAAATAAATAAAATATTTTTACCTAGAATGTGGCAAAGATTTTCAGTACTGACACCAAGCCTTCAGATCATAAAAGGGGTACCTGAGAGGTTAGTCTTATCAAAAGTAAAAATCTTACACATTTTACTAATTTTTAGGACTGGGTCTTCCCGTGTTGTATACCTCATACGTCGGCCTCCCCCTCAGAGCAGACATGAGCTCCAGACTTGCTTTCCAGACAGGGCCTCACTATGCTGCCCAGGCCAGGCTGGAGCTGGGGACTCCCCTCCTCAGTTCCTGACACATTGGGGTTTTTCCGACGCACCAACAGGCCGGATGTAGGCTGGACTAGAATCGAACCTTCTCCACACACGCGGGCCGGCCCACAGAGCACAGCGTCTCAGTGGTGTGTCCCTCTGTGGCTGGGCATTGCAATTTTACTTTTTAAAATAGTGTATACCAGCGTTATATAAAAGTTAATTAAACAAAGTGAGATGCTATAGACAAGAAATTACTATACCCACACACATTCGCTTAATTTCTTCCCTTATGACTTTTGGGTTTTTGTTTTTGCTTTTTTATTAGTGAAAAGAGGATCTAAATTCTACTCCTAACAAGTTTCTACATGCCATGACACATAACTATATCCTCATGCTGTGTGTGGTGAGAGTTTTAGACTCACAGCTAACGACAGGAAGGGCCAGGTGGTGTCAGTGGAGAGTGGATTCACCCACAGAAGGGCCTCAGGGGAACCTCAGTCATGCCCTCTGCACTCAGCTCCTCCGGGGCACTGGGGTATTGGGGTCCCCAAACCAAGGCCCACGGTGCCTCCTGGTGTCCACAGGACTCATGTCACCTACATGTGTCACAACTTCCTGCACCAGGACTGCTTCAGTCCCGCCCACACAATCTGGGTAGTTTGCTGAGTGTTTTACAGGAACCGCCTAAGCCAGACCTTCCCAGTAACCCCCATTAGCCTGGGAGGAGACCAGGGCCCAGGAGACTCAGCTCAGAGCTCCCTCATCCTCCCTGCCCTGCCTCCTACTCCTCTCCCCTAGTCCACTCTCCCCTCCAGGGCCTTCTCATCACACCCTCTCTGCTGTGTCCAGGTGCTCTGTCCCCCTGAGCTCTGTGGGCAGAGGTGGGCATGCTCCCGCTGCTCCCTCCAGGGCAGGTAACAAAGGAGAGTATGTCAGTGGGGGCATGGGGACCTCAGAAGGCTGGTGGGGCTCTTTCTGTCAGGTTGGTCTCGTAAGTAAAGATTCCATTCCTAGCAAAGACCTGCTGTATGGAAAACTGAAATAGGTAAAATGAAAATGAAAGCAAAACAAAAAAAAAGAGCCACCTGAAGTAGCTCGTGAAGTAAAAAAAAAAAATGTACTAACTAAAGCCAGGTGTCACAAACTTAATGCTAGTCCTGGGTTATTTATTAATATAAAAATAACTCTATCAGCATTTGCCAACATTTACACAGAGATGAAGAAATTTTTTTTATTTGTTCATTTAGAAAGAGATTTTTGATACAGGGCATGTGTACGCACCGGAGAGACAGACAGCGCGAAATAACTCCTAGGCTGATGGTCACGCCACAATTTCCTCTTCTCCATTTTCCTATGGGGAATTTGGGAACGCATGCTCACACGCCCAGTGTGCGTTTCAAGCCAATGGGTACAGGATTCGAACCACAGTCAGCCATGTGGGAGTCAGACAACATAACCATCATGCCGTCTGCTTATCGCGATGAAGAATTTTTAAAAAATTGTACATGCACATAAAATATTTTAATATACATATGTGCATATAATCCTTATGCAAATTAAACAAAACTTCATCATTTGATTATACTAGCATTCCCAAATTCACACACTGAACACTCTGCATAACAAGAAAGATAAAAAAGAAGCTGGGTGTTCTGTACCTCTAAAATATTGTTTCTTTTTTTCCTTTTATCAAATACAAACATTTCAAAGGCTTCCTTTATTAATAAAGTAACTCATTATGATTTTTGAAACAAATTTTTAACATGTTCTGCATACATGTTAATGTAGGTTAGGCCATCCAGAAGAAGAAACAGAGTCAACATTAAGTCGTAGTCCAGAATTATACAAATTATACAGGTCTTATGGTACTTGGTAAGTAATGACATCCAAAGTAAACTATATTTCAAATTTGTTTACGCAAAGGCATAAAAAGATCATTTTTAAATAGCGTTCATCTTTTTTCAATGGGCACAGACTCATCTGCAGTCATGTGCAAATATAATGACCTTGACTAATAGCTTTCTTAATCCCTTAATGCAAATACAGTTCCTTGTTTCTTTACTCAACTCAATGAAATAATGTAGAGTGAAGTCATTAGAAAAAGATGGGCCTCTCTAAATCTAAATTGAAATTGAAAATTACATTTAGGCCATAGGAAACATATGGGTTTCAGATTTACATATTACCTGTACCTAACGGTTATTAGATATGGTCTTTATTTTGGTTGAAATGCAAAAATATGATGAATTCTTTAGTAAAAGATTAATTAAAAAGACTTTCCATTGCTAGCAGTGATAATCCTAGAATGAAATGTAAGCAAAACATTTGTGAGTTACCATCTATCCAGTGCCCCAAATATGCAGATCCTAGTCCTAAACTCTTAGCACACATTTGCTGGAGCTCACTGAATGGCGACCTCCCATGTTTGGCAATCTTTTAAATCATTCTGTAGGTGTAGTCAAAATCTGCTTGCTAAAAGTCATAAAATTCCAGTAAACACTGCATATTTGATTTAAACCAACCTTACAGTTAAATTGTCTTATGACACATTGGGTCATAACCACTATGTAAAAAGTTTTTAAAAAATTATCCTTATGTAAAGTTGAAGCTAAACTTTGGAAACATGTTCATTTTTAGTAATTAACGTACTATAGCTGCTCTTTGGTTTGGCATAATGATATCGGTCAGATGCCTCATGTGCCCAGTGAATATTCAGGTAAATTTATGCCCAGGTAAGCCAGGTCTTTTGTCTAGCTTACTTTTGATGGCAATATCAAAACCTGAAATTCAAGGTAATTTTCCTAAGAATCATCACAAATGTTCAGATGTTTCAGAGATCAAAGATAATCATTATGAATTTTGACAAGGCTTTATTTTGATCTCTTCTCTCCAAACAGTTGATAGCAATCATCAATACCAGTTGAAATACCAAAGAGGCAGCCTTTCTCTGGTTCTCATACCACTGCTAGG